CCTCTCCTATTCCTCCTTTTCCTTTTCCTCCTTCTCCTTCTCCAATTACTATCAGTATTATTGTCATTATCACCAAGTCCTTCCTGTCTCTTTAAAGATTGCAGACTGCCCAAGAGGCCAAGGGGCTCCTAAATACCCATTTTTCCATTCCTGCTGCTCTTCTACTTTGTGCAGCAGTGTTCTGTGGGATGGGGTCACTGATGCAGATGGTCTGGGGGCTCCTCACCTTTTATGGCCTTGTCATGTTTCCTATGGCATTCTGTGAGCCCCAAGAAAGAAGATCAAATGTCTTGGTGTTCCTGCCACTTGACTTCATGCCTGTTTTGCCTTTATTTCTGGTGTGCTTCTTCTATATGTGACTGGAGGTCCTTAAAAAGCAGAGATGATTTGGTCTTCTGTGACCTATATGCACCTTGAATTCCACCTCCTGCCTCAGGCCTTATTGTGATGGCTCTCTGTCCTAGAATTTTGTTCTCTCATCTCACCCCAGGTTCGTAACTGGCCTGGACTATTTTTCCCTCTCAACAATCGCTAGCTAGGAGCTCAGCCACACACAGCAGCAGCCAGGGTGGACATGCTAGGGAGGGTGGAGACCAGCCAACCTAGAAGAGTGTCTCCCACCAATTACAAGGAAGTGGAGGGCTTCTTAATCCATGTTGGTGATAAATCCTCTTCTCAAGTCAGACTCACCTCATTTAAAGGACAGTTGGGTGTGTCTGCTAAGAAATGTGCCTATATTTTATTTTCCTTTTTACGAGGTCTTATTTAGCTAACCTTGAGGAACCACTGAAGGGTCACCAAGGGTCTGAGGAATTTGCCCCTCCAGTTTGGATCAGGTTCAGTTTAGGAGCCTGATTCTATTGAATAGGTTCTGTTAGCCCTGGTCACACTCATTGAGTCATTAAGATATTTATGGCTCACTTCTAGGACCATTGAAAAAAAAGGTGGGAGTGTGGTGGGGCAAGGAAAGGAATTTAATGTATGATAAGAATCAAGTATGGAACAGGTACTTTCTTCAGATGCACCCAAGAAATGTAAACATAAAACGTTTGCAAGTGCACATTATCAGAAAGGGATTTAGTAACAATTTACAACTACAGTTACAATCTGCAGAGAGGCTAATACTAAAACCTCTTTAGAACACAAAGTAGCCTGCAAAACTGCTATTTGGGTATTTTATGTTTTACTGTCCAAATGACCCCTGGAAGAGTCAGCTGATGAAACAGCCAGGCTGGAGCCAATCATCTCAGCAGAGGCTTTCCTCTCTGATGCAGAATGTTGTGCTAGCAACAGCCAACTCCAGGTGGCACAGAAACCAGCCATTACTTTCACTGGACCCTGGACCTCTGGACCTCTCAAACTCATTGGGTCCTCCCAGGCCTGTACTTTCCCAACTTAAGAATCATGTTCAGATCACCTACTGAGGAAAGGAAACATTTTTTTTCTTAATTTATTTTTTAAATTAATTTATTTTGGTTTATCAGCAATCATATCCATAAGCTTTTGAGTTTTAAATTTTTCTCCCTCTCCCTCCCTACCTCCCTCCCCAATAAGGTGTGCAATCTGATATAGGCTATACATATACATTCCTATTAAACATATTTTCACATTGTGATGTTGTAAGGAAGAATTAGAACCCATAGGAGGAACCACCAGAAAGAGGAAACAAAACACAACAGAAGAAAAAAAATAGCAAATAGTCTGCTTCGATCTACATTCAAACCCCATAGTTCTTTCTTTAGATGTGGATAGCATTTTCCATCATGAAGCCTTTGGAGATGTCCTAGATCCTTGCATTGCTGAGAAGGGTTAAGTCTATCAATATTAGTCATTGCACAATGTGGCTATTACTGTGTACAACATTCTCCTGGTTCTGCTCACTTCACTATGCATCAGACCATACAAATCTTTCCAGGTTTTTCTGAAGTCTGCCTGTTCATCATTTCTTATAGCACAATAGTATTCCATAACATTCATATACCACAACTGGCTCAGCCATTCCCCAATTGATGGGCATCCCCTCAATTTCCAACTCTTTGCCACCACAAAAAGAGCTGGTATAAATATTTTTATACATGTAGGTCCTTTTCCCATTTGTATGATCTCTTTGGGATATAGCCCTAGAAGTGCTATTGCTGGGTCAAAGGGTATGCATATTTTTATAGCCCTTTGGGCATAGTTCCAAATTGCTCTCCAAAATGGTTGGATCATTTCACAACTCCACCAACAATGCATTAGTGTTCCAATTTTCCCACATCTTCGCCAACGTTTATCATTTTCCTGTTTTGTTGTGTTGGCCAGTCTAATAGGTGTGATGTGATACCTCAGAGTTGTTTTGATTTGCATTTCTCTAATCAATGGTGATTTAGAGCATTTTTTCATATGATTATAGATGGCTTTAATTTCTTCATCTGAAAACTGCCTGTTCATATCCTTTGACTGTTTATCAATTGGGGAATGACTTGTATTCTTATAAATTTGACTTAATTTTCTATATATTTTAGAATATGAGGCCCTCATTAGAGATACTGGTTGTACAAATTCTTTCCCAATTTTTACTTTCCTTCTAATCTTGGTTGCATTGGCTTTGTTTATGCAAAAAATTTTCAATTTAATGTCATCGAAGTTATCCATTTTGCATTTTGTAATGTTCTCTATCTCCTGTTTGGTCATGAATTCTTCTGTTCTCCATAAATCTGATAGGTAAACTATTCCTTGCTCTCCCAGTTTGCTTACAGTATCAGCCTTTACATCTAAATCATGAACCCATTTTGACTTTATTTTGGTATATGGTGTGAGATTTTGATCTATGCCTAGTTTCTGCCGTACTCTTTTCCAGTTTTCCCAGCAGTTTCTGTCAAAGAATGAGTTCTTATCCCAGAAGCTGGGGTCTTTGGGTTTATCAAATAATAGATTACTATAATCATTGACTACTGTGTCTTGCATACTTAACCTATTCCACTGATCTACCACTCTATTTCTCAGCCAGTACCAAACAGTTTTGATGATTGCTGCTTTATAATACAATTTAAGATCTGGAATGGCTAGGCCACCTTCCCCTGCATTTCTTTTTATTAGTTCCCTTGAAATTCTGGACCCTTTGTTAAGGACACATTTTTAAAAAGGCAGCCAGGAACCTAAGTGCTGGCTCTTCCACTGAGTTTATGCTCTAGATGGAAGTGTCAGTGGGGTAGGGATGGAGGGGTAAAGAGTGTGACCCATCTCCCTCCCCTCAAAGGAGAGAATCAAAGCAAAGAACACTACTTGCCACATGGGAGAATCCAAGTCAAGAGAGAAATAAGGCAACAGGTCCCTCCTTTTTGTATATCTACTGAGAGAAATCACTCCTTTCAGCTCCCTAATCAATAAGGGAACTCATCATCATCTCACAGTGCAAATCCCTCAACAATAAGCCACACATGGCTAGAACTCCCCCCAAACTCACCAAGCTTTCCGTGATCACCTGAAACCAGAAATGGAGATTTGAGCATACCGAATAGGGGGAGGGGAAGATGGGGAAGAAAGGATGATCTTAACTGATTTCCCTTCACCTTTAAAAAGTAATGAGGATTATATGTCATTACAACAAACATGGTTTTAGCTGGTCTAAGACATAGAGTCTGACCCCAGAATGATGGGAGACCTCATGATGACATATAAGGATTATGTGAAGGAAGTGGGACATTTAGCCTAAAGAAGAGAAAACATCATAGATATGATACATCTTCAAGAATTTGAAAAGTTCCCATATGGAAGAGGGAATATATTTGTTCTCTTTGGTCCCAAAGGTCAGAACAGGGAATTGCAAAGAGGCAAATTTAGGCTTGAGATAAGGAGGAACATTTAAGGGCATTTAGGTGGCACAGTGACTAGAACACTGGGCTTGGAATCAGCAAGATTCACATTCATGAGTTCAAATCCAGCCTCAGGCAATTACTGGCTATGTGACCCTGTGCAAGTCACTTAACCCTGTTTGCCTCAATTTCCTCATCTGTCTAATAATCTGGAGAAGGAAATGGCAAACCATTCCAGTATCTTTGCCAACAAAGCCCCAAATGGGGTCACAAAGAGTTGGACACGACTGAACTGACTGACTGCCACCACAAGGAAGAACCATTAAAATTGTCCAGAAGTGTAATGTTGTTGTCCCTCAGTGGAGAACTTCAAGCAACGAATGTGTGAGCATTCATTGGGGTTATTGTAGATGAGATGCTTGTTTAGATGAAGGTTGGACTAGATGGCCAACACGGTCCCTTCCAACTTTGAAGTCCCACGTTATTCTGCATGGGTGAATGGTTTGCCAAATGGAATTCTGGGCTTTACTCCTTATGCTGGCTACCACTGTGTTAGGTATTCAGAAGCTCTGCTTTGCTTGCCCGAGATGACATAAGGATGATTCATTATGGCATTTTGGCAAGTGTTGTTTTGTGACCACTAGGAAGCCTGAAGGAAAATTGTGAAATGAATGGTTTGCCTATGGTTCTTCTCTCCCTCTTCGATCCTTTTCTCTGTGCTCTGCTCTCCCCTTCCTTGTCTTAAGTCCCATAAGGTTTTACCTTATAACTACTATGTTAATGATCTTTAAGTACACAAAGGTCTATACACAAGGAAAGGAAGCAGACAAACTTGTCCTCTGTGGCCCCAGAAGGCAATGGGTGGAAATTACAGAAAGCCAGCTTTCTGTTCAGGAAAAGGAAGAATTTTTAATGAGTAAAATATCCATCTGCTACTATGAATATTTTGGTATGCATGGAAATTTTTTTCTTTCATTTCCTTGGAGTTTATGCCCAGTAGTGGGATCTCTGGGTTATGGGATATGAATAGTTTAGTGACTTTTCTTTCCTAATTTGAATTTTTTCTCCAGAATGGTTGGACCAGGTGAGAGCTCCATCGATTGGGCATTTTGTAACTTGTAGCCCTTCTAATACTTACTTGGTTCTATTTTTTGATGTCTTTGCCAATTTTCTTCAAGCTTCTCATTTTACCAATGAGGAAATCCAAGGCTCAGAGAGGTCAAACAAATTGTCCAAGGCTGCAAAGAAAGTAAGTAGCAGAGTGGTATCTCTCTACTGATATAATGAGCACCTTAGTTGAGTGACTCATCATCTCTCAAATGGTCTATTATAATAGCTTTCTAATTGATCTCCTTACCTCTAGTCTTTCCCCATTCCAACATGAACTCTACACACCTACCAAAAATATTTTTCTAAGGCATGAGTCCAACCACTCCCTTCCTCAAAAGCTTTCAATAATGCCTGTTACTTCTAGGATAAAATTGTCCCTTCATCTCTTATTTCCTGATGTGAAAAATCAGAGGGTTGGACTGGATGATCTAACTCTGTGGTCCCTTCCTTCTTTGAAACTCTGAGAGTCTAATAAGTGGCCGAGCCAAGCCCAGATCATGCCAAGTGTTTAAGGTATGACCACTTGGGATTGTATTGGAGGGGATTCCTATTTAGGTGCATGGTGGACCAGATGGTCCCAGTGTTCCTTCTTACCTTGCCCTCCCACTCCGGGGCCTTTGGTTCTCTGGTTGGTGAGCATTCGACTTATTTTGACTGGACACAGCAAAGATCCATATTTTGGAGGGAGGGATAGTTAAGATGAACCATACAGGTGATTAGTTGGTACTTAATTAAGGAGGTCATTCATTCCTGTGGAGAAACACTGAATAACTTAGCCATCTTGGGTTGTGCCAGACTCTGAAATATTTCTTTCTCAGTCTTGATGTAAAGGGAAATCAGAAGGGGAAGGACAGCTCAGAGATGGAGGAAACGTTGTGAGGCCAAGGGAAAGACTTCTCATTCTTGGTTCTCTTGCCCAAGTGGTAAACTCAGCATTGTGTGGGAAAGAAAAGGAAAGGGTCTCTGCCCTACAGGCTTGCAATAAATGTAAGAGAAATGAATCAGAGGCAGCTAGGTGGCACAGTGGATAGAGCACTAGCCCTGGAGTCAGGAGGAACTGAGTTCAAATCTGGCTTCAGACACTTGACATTTACTAGCTGTGTGACCCTGGGCAAGTCACTTAACCCCATTGCCTAGCCAAAAAAAAAAAAAAAAAGAAAGGAAAAGAAAAGAAAAAAAAAGTGAAATGACTCAAATGTAAAGCCATGGGCTCGGGAGGAAGCATTTTTCCTGGACAAATGTTGGCAAACTCTATTTCCCTCCACCTCATCCTATATATCACTGTCCACTGAGGCTTTGAGCTTTTACTTTGACATGGAAGCCTTGACTTATCACAAAATAAATAATGATACTAGCTGACATTTGTAAAGTACTTAAAGTCTTACAAAGCACTTTACATATACTCTCATTCCATCTTCACAACAATTCTGGAAGGCAGATACACCTGATGTGATTATCCTTTGGGCACTGCCATCTTTCTAGTTGCCCTGGTTTGCAACTTTGGTGTCATCCTCGACCCCATCATTCTCATTCTTCCCCCATATCTTATCCGTTGCCAAACCTCTATTGTTTCTCCCTCCACAGCATCTCTCGCATCTATCCCTTTCTCTCCACATAGTCACTAATAGCTTCAGCTCAAACTCTTCATCACCTCTCACCCAACAACTGCAATAACATGACTAATTGGTCTCACTACCTCTGATCTCCCCTTGCTGTAATCCATCTTCCACATAGCCACCAAAGGGATTTTCCTATTTAGACTCATCACATTATTGAGGAAACTTTAGTAATTCTCTATTTCCCCTAGATCAAATACAATCCCTTAGTTTGGTATTTAAAGCTCTTCACCACCTGGTCCCTTCAATCTTTCCAGTCCTCTTTAATACTATTCCACTCCATGATCTCTGGGGACCAGCAATAGTGGCCTATTTGCTGTTCCATACACAAAATGCCTCATTATGCCTTGACTGACTCCCTCACCTGGAATGCACTCCCTCCTCACCTCCACCTCTCAGATTGGCTGGCTTCCCTTAAGGCTCAGCGTAAGCATCTTCTACATTAAGCCTTTCCTGATCCCCCTCACAAAATACCATGTAATGCATTGTGTATATGTTACAGTAGACCAGCACTGGTCCAGGGGCCCCTGGGCTGCTCCCATTAAGAAGCCTCAGCTTGGGGGTCACGTGGACTGGATTCAGCCCTAGGGGAGCCTGGCCTCAAGAAAAAAGGGCTTAGTTTAGGCTCTTTTCTCATTGTCTTTGGTTCTTTGTGTCCTAACCCTGAAAAATCACTTTGCAGTTTAGGTTTGGCTCATATTAAGGTCTCCTGAAAGTAGTAAAAAAGATACTCAATGTACGTTGTAGACCAGGTAGAAGACAATTCCTAAGTATGCATCAAAAAAGATCTAAGATGGGAAACAGTAACCTATAATTCCTATTATGCTTTCCTGGGATGGGGTGGGGGAGAGTGGGGAGGTGATAATTAAAATACTAAGGTACGAAATTTTCTGGAATGACTAAATAACCAGTTCACCTTCCCCTCAACTCTGCAGTGTCAAAACAACTCCATCAAAGTTCACATCTTCTAACAAACTAGGTCAGAGCTTATTGTAGATGCTCCTTCTGTCCATAATCATCTTTTCTATGGAGGGTTAAATTGCAGAAAACTACTCCTGCTGCCAGTCAGATCTGACTAAAGGATCTAGGAGCCACCATGAAGTTGCCTTGGAAAAGTCCATTTCAGAATTATTATTCAGCCACCTATGGTCAGAGAACAAACCTAAACAGAAGAGGCAGACAGGGCCCAAGGCATGGGCTCAGGCTCACATAGACAGACCATGTCTCACTGTCACGAACGAGCCACCGCCATATCTGTCAGAGGAAACAGAAGCCTTTCTCTCACCATCATGGAAAGTCCCAAGGAATCACACATTCAGGAGATAGGAAAAAGAGAGCTGGAGGGCAGATAGTATATCTCCTTGTAAAGTCTACTGAGTGGATATATCTTCTAGCTCAGTGGCCAATCCTCTTTTGTTTCATCCCCTCCTCTGGCCGCTGTCATAAGGATGGAGGGATTGTTGCATCATCCCTAAGCGCCAAGTCTTTCACCAGAGCACATGCGGGTCCATGAGAATGCCCTGGGGAGAACAGCTCAGCTCTCTGAATGGGCCAACGTACTCTCCCCAGAGCAGATCCCCTTGTACTTACCTGTTTCACATATATTTATACTGACTCACTTTACATGTGTGCTGTACAAATTTATGTACTCCACCTCCCCCATTAAAATGTGTTCTCATTGAGGGCAAGGACTGTCTCACTTTTATTTTTATATCTCCAGCGCTCAGTACAATGCGTGGTGAATGGTAAATCCTTGTTGTTGTTCTTCATTTGTTTCAGTTATGTCCAATTCTTTACGACCCCATTTGGGGTTTTCTTGGCAAAGATGCTGGAGTGTTTAGCCATTCCATTCTCCAGTTCATTTTACAGATGAGAAAACTAAGGCAAACAGGGTTAAGTGACTGGCCTAGGATCACACAGCTAGTTAGTTTCTGAGCCCAGATTTGAATTCAAGAAGTTGAATCTAAGGTCCTCAGATTCTTGGAATCTAGCCACAGGCTCAGATTCTTAAGATCTGGCCTGCTTGCATTAGCGATACAAATGCTTAGATTCCTTAAGAGTCTGGCCAATGTGGCAGATCTTTAATAAACCTTGTCTTTGGCTGGAAAAAAAAGAAAAGAAGTAGAATCTTCCTGACTCCAGGCCTAGCACTCTCTCTGTGTACCACCTAGCTGCCCTGGTAGGTAGTTAACAAATGCTTATTGGTTGATTGAATGATCTCATCCTCTACAGATGAAAACCGTAGCTCAGATGTATTAAACGGCCAGTCCAGGATGACACATTCTGTAAGTGTCTGAGACAGGCTTCAAAATCTGGTTCCTCCAAATCTAGTGCTCCTTATATTATATACCAGGTGCCTTTCAATAACTAGGTATCAGGGAGAATGTTATTTGCTGACATTAAAATTATGTGAGTATATAAAACACCATATTGGAAAGTATCCCTGGTTGCCTCAGATCATGAGTTTCTCCCAAGGTGGCTTCCTACTTTGTCTACTCCTAGATCTGGCTCTGGAGAAAAGCCATCGATAACCATTGAAACACTGCCTTTCATTAATCTGGTGTTCTAACCACACCCCCAACCGCCACCACCACTTTGAGCTCTTGGGAGGGAAGGCCCAATGAACTCCAGCCTGATATTCCCTTTTTACCCTTTGTACTTTTCCTCAGTAATAATAGCTAACATTTATACGGTGCCCGATGTGTGTCAGGCACTGTGCTAAGAGCATTACAATTATGATCTCATTTGATCCTCATGATGACCTGGGGAGGTGGGTGCTATTATTAGCCCCATTTTACAGATGAGGAAACTGAGGCAACAGAGTCACACAGCTAGTAAGTGTCTAAGGCTGTATTTGAACTCAGGTCTTCCTGACTCCAGGTCCAGCACTGGGTTTTTATAGTTATAGTCCTTTACAATTTGAATACTACTTTCCTTGGAAAGAAAGAAAGGAAGGAAGGAAGGAAGGAAGGAAGGAAGGAAGGAAGGAAGGAAGGAAGGAAGGAAGGAGAGGAAGGAAGGAGGGAAGGAGGAAGGAGGGAAGGAAGGAAGGAGGGAAGGAAGGAAGGAAGGAAGGAAGGAAGGAAGGAAGGAAGGAAGGAAGGAAGGAAGGAAGGAAGGAAGGAAGGAAGGAGGGAAGGAGGGAAGGAGGGAAGGAAGGAAGGAGGGAAGGAAGGAAGGAGGGAAGGAAAGGAAGGAAGGAAGGAAGGAAGGAAGGAGGAAGGAAGGAGGAAGGAAGGAAGGAAGGAGGGAAGGAGGGAAGGAGGGAAGGAAGGAAGGAGAGGAAGGAAGGAAGGAGGAAGGAAGGAAGGAAGGAAGGAAGGAAGGAAGGAAGGAAGGAAGGAAGGAAGGAAGGAAGGAAGGAAGGAAGGCAGAAAAGGAAAAGGGAAAGAAAGAAAGAGGGAATAAGGAAGGAGAAAGGAAAGAAAAGAAAGGAAAGGAAAAGAAAAGGAGGGAAGAAATGGGAGAACCCATGGCCACTTGGAACTCTTCAGCTGCCAGGACCAGAGGATGTCTCTAAACTTTGTCTAAGGATAGCCTGATACTAGTCATGAAACAAAATCTCTAATTCTGAATTTTGATCTGAAAACTGTCCACTAAAAGATTCAGGATCACTGATCCAGTGGGGAGGCTATACAAACCACTTGTTACTTTCCCTCTTCCCTCCTTATTTCCAGACTTGGGGCCCTTTCACTCTCTCCAATAAAATCATCTTAGAAGGGTATCCAAGGTCTTAAAGGAGCAGATCTAAGTGGCATTACTTTTCAAAACCCTATGGCAGGAAATGATAAGCAAGATTTGGCTCCAGTGCATTTCACAAGACTGTCTATTAAAAGGAATTCCGCTTATATCAATAGGGATTTAATTTGAGCCAATTTAAAGTGAGTCTGGGGTGTTTCCAGGCAGCAAGAGGACAATCCCAGTGAGAGATAAGTATTATAGAGCTCTATGAGGATTTGACTCATCAGCCACAGATTTGGACCTGAAAGGGACCTTACGGGTCATCTAGTACAATCCCTACATTAGAAAAATAAGGGAGCAGAGGAATAGAGATGTGAAGTCACCCAATTAGTGGGAACAGATCACTGGCATGTGAAAACAAAAAGTGTAGGTGTCAAAAAAAGCTGTAAAGTTGAGAGAAAACCCAGAATCCAAAGGACAGGCTTCTCCTTACTTTTCGGTTTTTCCAGTGTGTACCAGGGTCTAATCACTTCTGGAGGAATGTTTCAGTAATGGGGCCCTAGAAATAAATATGAGACAAATAAAAACGTAATTGGAAAGGGGTACTTTCATCTGGAGCCCAGGCATTACCAACCGAGCCCATCTCTGCCCACTTCCCTCTGGGCCAGAGGGTGATTATGGCCCTGGGCTAGACAAGGCCCAGAACTCTGAGGCCTGCTCATGCTTTGTAGGAACTCCACAATGATCAGCTTAAGTGAGGATACAGCTCCTCCCCCACCCCTAACCCCAATACTGGCAAAGGGCATTTCTGTGTCATCATTGTGAAAATAGGGTGTTTCTTTTATGGTACTAAGGATACTTTATCTTAGGTCTGTCAATTTTATGGGCCACATTCTTCTCCACTGAGGTCTTTTCCTTATGTTGTCCAAGGTTGGTGTGAAATTGAATGACTCTGTGGTCACACGAGTTCTAGGAAAGGAAAAGAAAGTCAGGAACCCACCCGGAAACCTGTGATGAGTATCAACTCAAAGAATGAGGTGTTGGCAATAAGTAGCTCATGTGACCCTAAAGGACATGGCCTTTCCTCAGTTCTGCATTTTCTGTTGAAATGCTTCCAGATGTATCGTCTTCCCTTGCAAGCCATCTTCCCTGTCTCTGTTAATAGGGCTCCTTTCTCTCAGTCACCCAAGCTTGAAAGCTTGAAACCTTCTGATTCTTCTCTCTCCTTCTCTGTTCCCAGGCCTCTTGCTCCTATTTTCAAAGCATCTTTCCCATCTGTCCTACTCTGGGTATTCTCACCATCACCACCTATTCTAAACCTTTATCCTCACAGTTCAATTCAACAAAAGTACAGTGGAAAGAGTATTGGATTGGGAATCAGGGGACAAAGCTTGGATCTGTTGCTTACTACTTATGATATCTTAGGCAAGCTACCTTTCTGGATCTGAGCTTCCTCATTTGTTAAGAAATGAAGGGATTGGAAAAAACTTATTAATTAAAATGTTTTTAAAATAAAATTAAATGGTTGAACTAGATCACAAGCTCCTTGAGAGCAGGGACTATCTTTTGCCTTTTTTTGTATCCCCAGTGATTAGCATAGTGCCTGACACATAATAGGCACATAATAAATGTTTATTGGTTAATTTATTGAAATTGTCTCTAAGGCCTTCTCTAGCTCTAAATCTTATGACTAACAAATCAGCATTTATCAATTGACTGCTCTGTGTGAAGCGCCATGGTAAGTGATATGGTGGATGCAAAGATGAATAAGAGAGTCCTCATCCTTAAAGAGGTTATAATCTAATAAAGGAACTCACAATCTGTTGTAATAGCTTCTTCACTCTCTCTTGTTTCCCCTCTCTCTCCAATCTATTCTACATGTACCATTGCTAAATCAGTCTTCCTGAAGCAGATAGGTGGTGCCATAGTGTATAGAGAGACTCACCTTCCTGAATTCAAATCTGGTCTCAGACACTTACTAGCTGTGTGACCGTGGGCGAGTCACTTCACTCTATTTGCCTGAGTTTCCTCATCTGTCAAATGAGCTGGAAAAGGAAATGGCAAGCCACACCAGTATCTCTGCTAAGAAAACCCCAAATGGGGCCACAGAGAGTCGGACACAACTGAAAAACAAGTGAACAAAAGCAAATTTGGTCATGTCACTCATCTTCTTCATCCCCTTCAGTAGCTCTCCATCATCCTACACACTGACTCCAAACAAACTTCCTATCACTCCCTAGTGTAAAACCTTTCCTTCAGCCAAGCCAAACTCTTCTTTGTACTACAAACCAGCCACTCACTGCCCCAGTCATGCTGTCCTCTCAGTCCAAAGCATCCTTTCTCCCTTTCCCCATCTACCTAGAACCTGCCTGTCCTTCAAGCATCTGATGAAGCCTCACCTTTTTAGAGAAGCCCTGTATTATCCCCAGTGCCTGGCACAGGGTCATGTTCAGTCAGCCCTCAGTAAATTGGTGCTGAATTAAATTGAAGTGAATTATAATAAGAAGAATTTGTATTTGTATAGCACTTTTAAGATTTAGGCTGATCATCTCACAGCTAGCAGGGGAGGGGCATGCTTTCAAATCCCATTTAACAGATGGGGAAACTGATACCGAAATGGGGAGGTGACTCAGGTCATACAGGAAGTGGCAAGGGGAGCAGAACCAAGATGTTCTGACTCACAGCCCTAATTTCTACCCCTCCATACTAAAT